TGTTTTCAAAGAAAGAATAATCGACTGACCTTAACCAAATTGTCTGACAGAAAAAGCACAGTGTTCTTTCCCTTTACTCCGGCCACGACACAAGCTTTTTTCACATCGTCTCTGAACTCCGATAAGTTGTATACTCGTGAGACATGAGGTCTCAAGAACACGCAGTCTTCAATAAACGCTGCTAGCTTAGCAACCGTGGCTTTGCCGGTACCCCCAACCCCGACCATCTGCATGTGTTTCCCAGGCTGACGGAAAACACGTGCCGCCCGTGTCACGTGCTGCACTGCCATGTCGAAGAAAACAAAACGATGCTCCACACTTCCCCCTGATAGGTTGGCTTTGTCGTAGTATTCCTGGCAAAGAAGAACACTCCATCAGTCAAATACTGTTCAATGAGGTGATAGCAGTTTTCAATTAACCCTTCAGCTCCCAAGATCCACTTAACAATTCTAACTGCTATGCTTTTCCTCATAAAACAACACATGAAAATATGGTCTCATTCCAAAATAACGCCCTCCAGTTGATAAGATTTTCTGCTCTCATAACCTTTTTACAAGATGACTGATTAGAATTGTACGGAGAAGTTACATCTAAATCACTTCTGACAGTTAAAGGGTTAAGGCCACGAGTGGAAATCATCAGTCTGTTAGAGAAAGGAGCTCAAGCTTATCTGAATATGAACGATCTTTTTTTCTCGATTGTCCCAATCTGTATGTGTAATGCCTTGGGAAAACACTAATACTCAAGTTTTCCTCAAAACACTTACGCCTTGAAACAAATAACACATCCCTCACTCATCACGACTGTTTGAAGTTCTGTTTGCTTCTTTTCGTTTAACTCCCAAAATCTGGTTGTTAATTCTCCCCTCTAGCTGCTTCACCGTGATTTCCTTGCAAATTAGTCATCAGAAGTTGGTGACATTTTTAGAATGTCTTTTTTATCACTGAGTCCATCACCATTAAAAGTCCATCACATTGATACAGTGTTAGTGTAACTGTAATAGTCCATTCACTGATATGACGAAAGGTTTCGACAAGTAACTAGAATTGCATTTTACCAAATAGTACAGTTGAAATACACTGTAACAAGTTAGCAACCCCTTCCTGATAATTTTGAGTATCCTTACTACCTGTTTCCGGGATAATTTATGAATATTATAGGGGGAAATTATATTTATCACTTCTGGAAGTTCAAGGGTTCAAAGCGAAACCCACCTCTAAGATCTGAGGCAATCGATCATATTGGCGCACAGAGCGATACACTCGAGGGCTGTGTGGTTCACTTCCTTCCAGAAAATCCCCAAAGATCAACGGCTTTTTTTCCAGTTCCTCGGCACTCCAGCGTGTCTTGAACCCATTGTGGAGCTGTTCCGACAACACTCTGTGGAAGTACCGTCGGTCAGCATCGTTCGTGAGCCGATCGTGCAACACTCGTGAGGCTTCGTGGCCGAGCAACTGAGCGCAGTGGTCACGTGATGTGATGACGGATGGGTGGGCTTGTAACAAGCTTTCTATAACCTGTAAATAATACGACGAGAGTTAAAGGCAAAAAAACTAAATTAAGTCAGCGCAAAGTCAAGAGCTTTTCAGTCACAATACACGTACAATACCGTTACATAATATAACGGGTAGTTAAAGCAAAACTTAAGTGTCCACAAAGACCAATCGGAAAATTCAATGAAGTAATTTAGGGATCTTATTAGAGCTTACGGGAAATACCTTAAAGACTTGAGGCGGAGGAAAACGACGGTGGCTCTCATAAACGCTGCGACAAGAAAGGAAAGGGCAGGCGGGCGAGCTACAAGAGGCGGTTGCAGTTGTCAGGTAAATGGCTGCCGTGCAGCGTTTTTTTGAGAGCCTGCTTTGAGCTCTTTTCCACGAACCGAAAGCCTAGCACAGGCAACTAAGCGGTCAAATTGGTGCGCGGCCGGCCAAAATCGATTCTTCCGTGCATGCCTTCGTTTGACCGCTTCATTCCTGTCGTACCGCCTATGAGAGCCTGATCACTGGATAATTCACAATTGATTCTAGTTTTTGCATGTGATTTTCTGAGAGACCAAGAGAACGAAACGACTTTTCTGAACCAATCACAGAGCGTATTCACCTGAAACCTTTGCTATTCCGTCATGATTTTCTTTTAAAAAAATAACATTCAATTGAATAACGATATGTGCTTCATTCACTTACTTTATTTAAGTCGCGCAGATTGAAAGTATAATGTGACTTAGCAGGGGTGGGGAGGAGGTTGGCACTAAGATCAAAGTACAGCCCCATAGCAACAGTCACCATAACCTCACAGGCGTCCCGCACATCAGGTACAAAGTCGGCTTTTTCCAAAAAGCGTCCAAGCTGTGTGACGTAGATATGATGCAGCCACTTGGAGTCAGGATGAGGAAGATAAAGCACACTAGGAAATAAAGGGATGTCCTCCAATCCATGATATAACAAGTACAAGGTCTTGCGGAATGGGAGAAGGGGGGCAAGAAATCGCGAATTCGAAAGAAAAATCAAGAGGGCGGGAGGGAAGACAAGAAAAGCACCCCTAAGGGCTTATATCAAGGGACATTTTATTTACAATACGATGGGTAGTCAGATTCATTGTAAAAATTTCCCATTGCACGTGGAAGTAGAATGAAAAAAAAAATAGCATGGACTGACTGATCCCTAAATCCATAATCTCCTGATAAGAGCCAATCTAAATGGAGTGTTGAAAGTAATCCGGGATTGCTTAAGTTTTTTGACTTCGCCTTTTTTCACTCCAGTTCTCATTAACTACTTCTTCTTTGTTCTGAGTGGCTGTTGTAATTACTTTGTGTTTGGTTTAACGAAACTCGATCGAAATCTGATCGAAACCGCCTTACGCAATTCTCTGATTACCCACCCTACCTGAAATGCCTCAGCAACCGACCATTAATAGCACTTCTTCCTCCCCCAGGGGGAGCACAAGCCGCTAATAGTGTAACGTCATGAACCTCCTTCCACTGAAGCTTTGTAGAGTCATAGAAACCTTGAGAGTCAAGGAACTGACGGAGCAACTCCAGAGGGGGCTGGGACTGGAACGCATCGGGTTGAGGTAGATTGATGTCGTCAACAAAGAGAAGAACCTATCGTAATAGGCAAAACCATTTATCAAATAACTTACTTTTGCTACGAGAATGGCGAATAGTAGGGAAGAGGCATAACTGAACTTGTGTTGCGGGGGGTATATCTGTGGCTCTCTGAACACTGCCTTCAACAGGTGACGATACAACCAAGAGAATAATCAAGCCTTAATTTCAATCAAACGAACTATCAGCGTGCTCCAAGACAAAAGCAAATTTCTAGTTCTTCAAACACTGCCTTAAATTTCCCACTTCCCTTCATCTGCTGCACACTTGAGAGTGAAAAACAAAGACAGTTGAAATTTCTAACAGACGAACCTTTTTTCCTGGTCTCGGTCCCAGGACGTCCCTTCCTCTCTTCACCAACTTCGATTCAATAAACTTCTGCGCCTTTGAAGAGCTTGTATAAGCCGAAAAAGGCGTGGAGTCGAACACCACCTCAGAACCACGCCCTACACTCTTCACCCCGTCAGAGGCTGTCATATCCATAATGCTGTCCACCAAGTTCATCCCTCCTGTTCGAAACACTGCTCCTAAGATTGTTCCCGTGCTCGTTCCACTCCCACCCGGTTGGGACAACCGGACCAACGTGTCCTGGATCAATGCACTTTTCCCAACACCGGTTTCTCCGGTTAGCAAAACCGGTTGTCCTTTTAACGCCATCAACGAGAGGAGAAACGCGTACCGGACTGTGTCAACGGTTGGAACGAGGGAACGATCGATCTCAAGCTGATTTTTCATGGGAGGGGGATCGTCTAGAGTGTTGAGAGTATCTGAGATGGCAAATTGATTAGACACTGCCTTGGCTATCAATGCGCGAGTCGAAGGAACGAGACTGCTCCACAGTATAAACTGTCCGCTCTCCATGTCAATGAAGTAATTAGCCATGCTGTCGTTTCCAGGGGGTAATCGAACACCGATCGGGGAGTCGATATCAAACAAATCACGAGTCATTGTATCAAACAATTCCCAAATTTGTGGACTGTCTTTTGCAAAGGTATCTCCACTTTCTTCATCATCGACAACTGATTCAAAACGAAGATTTCCCCCAAATGCCCACGTATATGCAAAAACATACACTTTTCCGAGAAAGCTTAAAAGCTGGGAAGGATTGCGTTGTATGAAAGACACTTTCCGAATAGGAATGATTTCTTGTTCGAAGTCATCCGCAAACGTGACGGCTTTAGCCGAAGTTGTTTCCGACAATTCTGCTCCATCTTCGACAGCACTCGGAGCTTCGCTAGCAGGGAAACCACCCTGGCTGTACATTATTTCTAAAAAACCGCTGATAATACTGCAGAGAGTGGAAACAATGCTAAGATCCGGTGCTATGATGTATTGTAGCTGGCTGTAGTTGGAAAGGAAGCGAAGTCCTGTGTCTACACTGTGTTCAAATAACTGGAGAAGATGATTGAATATCTCTCTGGGGAGCTGGCCAAAACAAAGAAAAACGCGTTAAACTAAACAAAACTTTAAAGAGAAAAATCCTATGATAAATAATTATCAATGAAGAAATATTCTCGCTGAAATCCACATAAAAACAGAGACACTCTCTTTGCATAATTAAAATCTCTCCAAGAGCGTAACCCTTTAATTTAATAATTTAATTTAATTTAATCAGCACTTTACTTCTCCTTACAGTATCACCCCTGAATCATGCATTAAGGTCATGAGAATAAAGGAAATGATCGCAAACTTAAGAACTGTTGATTGTTTGAAA